CTTTTTTTTTTTTTTTAATTCCAGAAGGAGGCAGTACAAAGGAGGAAATAAAGAGGGGGTGATAAGAGTTGGCGTTCTACCAGAACCAGGGGACAGGCATTCAAGAGGAAGGAAACCAGATGCTAAACTAGCAACTCCCTTGAGAATCATGCTAAGCGCTATTATGTAGAGAGTGCTATGAGCTAGGTGTAGGCCAAGAGCTTTACCCTCCTTGCCTCAGTGCAACCACCCTTACATGTTCTTGCCAGATTTACTCATGCAAATAGGTTAGTGACTTGCTCATGGTCGCCCAGCTAAGGGAGAGCAGAACCAGTCCAATCCAGTTTCATCGCTAGCATGAATCTCTACTCAGACTTTCTGATCTGAGAAACCAAAGTTCAGAGAGGGAAAGGGCTTCTCCAGGATCACATGGCAGGAGGTAGAGAAGGGATGAGAGCGCAGTGTGTGTTGCAGAAGGGCTGAGCATGGAGAGATAATGAGGCTAGAGACCTGAACCCACGTAAGACTGAAGATGGGGGTGGGAGGGACTTTCCATCCCTCTCCTTCTCTAGAGGTGAGGCCACTCCTGTTCCTCAGGAGGGCCAGGAGGTAGAGTTTGTTTTCCCCTACCTGGTCTCTTCCTTTTCCCTGTTCAGGGTTTCTACTTTTTTCTTTCAGAATGACTCTTGTTGGCCCAGAAAGCACAGAGGGCCAATGAGGATGAGCCAAGTCTGTGATTCATGAATTACTAGGTAGAAAGGTCTCCTGGCATTTCCTAAACTCACCTGGCTGGTTGTTGGAGTATGCACAGTGATGTCCCATCTTTTTTTATTTTTAAATTTTTTAAATTTTTAAATTTTTATTTACATTTTTTAACACATTCAATTACATTATTTAATGTCCCATCTTGACAGTGTTCAGTGCAGTCTGTCTTAGTCTGTTTTATGCTGACAGAGCAGAATATCTTGGGCTGGGTAATGTATAAAGAATGACAATGTATTTCTCACACTTCTGGAGGCTGGAAAGTTCGAGATCAAGCTACTGCCATCTAGTGAAGGCCTCCTTGTTGGGTTCTCACAGCAAGGCAACTGGGCAAGGAAGAATCAACTCTCTTCATTGGTGCCCTTCTGAAAGGGTACCTGATCCTATCCACAAGGAAGAACCTTCACGGCCCAGTCACCTCCCACAGACCCTACCTCCCAGCACTGTCACACTGGGAGTGCCTGAATTTGGGAAAGGACTTGGTCAAATCAACTGCAGGGTTCTGGTAGTCCTGCTCCTGGTGTGGGTTGAGGGAGAACCATTCAGGAACTCTCAGGGTCCTGGGGCACATCCTCAGGTCCCCCATATTGGAACATGTGCATGCGCCCCCACACAGTACAAAGTCCACAGTGGCGAGGGCTTCCTGCCGTCTGAGGGGCTGGCCACTCTTCATCGCGCAGATGGCCAGCCCAGAGAGCATGAGAAACCCACCGGGTCAGCGCTCAGGCTCAGGCATCTGCACTCCTGCCGAATCCTCTCTGGGTGGATATTCTCATTTATGCTCAACATTGTCCAATTTTCCCCCACCCACTCTAAATATCAAGGCTCTACTTCTCCTTTTCAGGTGGGCCACATTCTCTGCTGTCCTTGTCACACTTCCTTCCCTTTTCTTTTTAAATCTGATTTCTCTGTGGGGGTGGGTAGCTGGGTACAGGGGCAAAAACACCTTCTCTTACATGGTAAATACATATAATTTTGTCAACTAACACGCACACACACACACACACACACACACTCTCTCTCTCTCTCTCTCTTTCAACACATAGAGAGAGAGATATGACCTCCAGCATTAAAAAAAAAAAATAAAGACACGATTAAGGCTTTGGACTCCCACATGACTGAGCACAATGAGTCCTGGACCCAGAGGCTTGAAAACCATGCTGGGTGCATGTGCATGTGTGCCCAAAATCCCAAGAGGAGAATGGAGAAGAGATTACAGCATGGCCATCCCCCCCAGTGGGTGATTTCTCACTTTCCCTCTCTCTGTCTCTCTTTCCAGCAAGCACATGTACCCTATGGAAAAAATATAAAACAAACAAAACAAAGCCAAAAAAAAAGAATAAAAATAAAAATGAAAAAAGAAGCCTTTTCCCCCCGAGGGCCACCTGGATGCTCAGAAGAGGCTACCCAGGGAGACTTTCGACCCTGACCTATCATTGCACGGGGACACCAAGTCCAGAGTGAACAAGGACTTGTGTCAGTTTAGGTCCAGGGACAGGCTGCTCCAGAATGTCTATGTGGGAGGACATTAGTGACATCAGTGGTTGGAAGGAGGGGGCCATGATGTCCTCAAGGCACATTTCCAAAGCCAGTTTGCTGT